AACAGAGCAACATTTAGTGTACTTTGGGGGTTTTTGTTTTGTTCTAAGCTGCATTTTTGCCGTGGCTTTTTACTGGCATGCTGGACTCACGTGCACGGAAACAATCGGTTCCATTTTATCCTTTTCTCCTCGGTTTGTTGCACAGAGCTGCCTGAACGGGATACGCTGATGCCATTAGTGACCCAGGACGACACATGCCCATTTTTGTGGGGGACGGCAGCTGGACTGCTGGTAACCTGGCATTGGTTGAAGACATTGACCTTGACAAATTCCCAGTGTACCCTTAAGATGGGAAGTTGTGTGCACTGAGTTTGGACACGTTTGCGGAACTTTCTCCCTCAACATCCCGGGGGATGAGCCCAGCCAGAAGCTGCTAATTGTTACCCAATTAGAATGTGAAAAACAAGTGTTTGACCTATAAGCAAAGGCCACGCTACCTTCTTCTAGTACCTTCGACTGTGTATAAAAGGCACAGTCTTTCTGTAATAAAGGAGCCATTTTTGAGCCATTCTAATACCATTCAGTTGTGTCGTGTCCGTCTCTACAACGACACGTTTTGACTTATTGTCACAAAGCACCAGTCTCAGCCAGAAAGTTGAGAAGTGACTACTTACAGAGGGCGCTGCTGTCGGAGCTGAGAGAGCTGTCACTTCAAATCCGGTGCTCCACAGGCAAAGTCAAGACGACTGCTGCTGCCTCTGATTTTCCTTTCTCTGCTCTGTGCCAGTACCCAGTGAAATTTGAACTCGGACACATGTAAGGAAAGGCCTCAATGGGGAAAAACAATTGACAAGTTCACAGCCAAAGGTAAAAGAAACGTCAAAGTTCAGCTATTTGCCGTGCCATGATTAGTGTCCCATTTCCCTTTACATCCAGACAGGTGAAATAATGAAGGGGTTTGATTCCTTCTCCCAGGGAAGGTGAACAGAGCAGAGGAAAGCATGTTAAGAATCATCCCAGGAAAGGAATATATTTTCCAATAGTAGTTTTAGCCAAAGTACTGGGAAGGGGTTTTTTTATCCCAGTGAAGTTTGGGCTAAGGGATAATCACCTGTAGGCAGAAATCTGACAACATGGCGTTATCTTAATCAAAGCAACTTGCCTTCCACGCTGGCACTTACGCTTCTATATTAAGCAATCACAGAAAATGGTAGCCTGCTGCATCCAGCTTTGCGTTTACCATTTAGCTAAATCACAGCTAGTTCAGTTTTGTAGAGCATCTTCCCACCTGGAGTAACACAAAACACAGCGTGCGCCAAACCCTATGCCAAACTTGACGTAAGTTGACATTCTCTTTCTGCCACTCTGCAGTCACAAAAATGTTGCACCTGGCATACACGGGGTAGAGGTGGGAGCCAGGTGCACAAGGTCTCACAGAGGAGGAGGAGCGAGTACCAGGTCCATTTACACACTGGTAATCTCAGACATTCACTTCCCCCGATCGCTGGTGGACTGAGAGGACTATAAGGAGGATGAGAGGGAATGGAAAGTTCTTCTGATTCTTTGTCCCAGGCTGCTGCGACCTCATTGCGCAATGGAAAAAATAAAAGATTCCTCTTCACTGCAAACTGCCCAGACACATGAATGGGAGCTGCTGGCACCTTTCGGGAGACTGGCTGCGAGTCCCCCTGCAAGGACCAGAGGGGGATGATGGCAGAGAAGGCACATCTGAAGAAACCGTCGTCCTGCCACCTGGAGCCACTCGGCTCCAGAAAACCCTTGGCAGCTGTGCCTCCTACCCTTGGGGCTGGCCATCTAGAGATTGTTCCCGTGAACTACACGTCAGGATCCCTGGAAGAAGAGGTCTGGTATTTATCACACGTAACACTTTTTGCATTCCAAAACCCAACTGAAACGTACTACATCTGCTTTTTGGAGTACCGTGGGAAGGTCAAGCAACTTCCTCGTGATTGTTTCGTGTCCCAGGAATGAGAAGCAGCATCAAAAGCATGATGCTCTGCTCCAAATAAGCTTGACAAGACAACCCTTACCCACAGGTGACAAAAGGAAAACCGCACACGCTGTGATTGTCACAGAAGCCGAATAAGGTTACGGCTTTTGGTCTTTACCACGATTCTTTGGGCCAACCACCCTTTTGCTTGCAAATGCACCACGGAGTTCTGGTAACGCGTTAGGTAGGTGGTTTTCAGGGTTTTTTTTTTTGAAAAGGGGAACATCTGGCACAACCGGTAAGCTGGCCAGACAAAGTACAAGTGGAAGGAGAGTAAATCATTACCCAGACAGACGGGCCTTGAACCAGATCATTTTGGCAGCTGCTAACTTAGTAATTCCCTCTTGCTCTCAAACGAACTTTGTTCCTGTAATGACCGACAGCTGATGCAACGATAAGCGAATGAAGTCTATAAAAATCTAGCCGAAGCCTGGGAAGTTCTATTTGGGGCTCTTCCTACCTCCTCCGCCCACGGCTGGTCCTAGGGCCGAAGTGACAGCTCGTGCCGTGACGATGGACGGCTGGAAAACGCTGGCGGTCCTTTTGCTCTGCTCGCTGCTGCTCAGCCAGGTAAACAGCAATAACTATGTAACGTGCTAACTGGTCAGGTTGTTAATGGAAAATGTTACGGTTTGCATGAATAACGGCAGGAGTCGGAGGTGACAACAGAGCTCTCTTAGAGGATTCAACATCATGAAAAAGTAGAGTAACTGCCTGGTGAATACTGGGTTACTCCGAGACATAACCTGGCAAGTAATTCTGCCTTCGCTCCCAAGATTAAAATCAGAGTTAATTTTCATACATCTTTGGGGTTAAGGATACAAGCAACTATACTCAAACAGAGCACGCTGTGATCTGAAAACAAGAAAGGTTTTGAGTTCTTAAAACAAAGACTATTGACCTCAGCATCAGAGCGACCGCCCGCCCGCAGCCGCCGCACGTTCTGATCATGGCACTCCAACTCTCGTTTCAGGCACATGGCGCTTCCCTGCCCCAGCGGCAGCCGCGGGCCCCGGGGGACGGGGGGGTGGGACACTCCCCCAGCGGCAGCCGCGGCTCGCGAGGCAGAGGCGGATGACACCTTTCTGGAGAGGAGTCTCGCTGCGACCCGTCGGAGCCTCCTGCAGGGATAACAGCGAATGCATCACCATGCTCTGCAGGTAACAAATCCCCGTCAGCACCCAGGCTCCGCGACGCCTGATATCATGTAGAGGAAGTTCCCATTTACTATCCAGATGAGATACAGAGTTTGTTCTGTGCATTAAAAAAAAAAACATACCAGGAACAGGGATGGGGCAATAGCTTCAGAACTCTTCTATGAGCAACTCAAACAGAGCAGAGTCCAAGTGCCCTCGATGACAAGCCTTGGTCCTTTTGTTGCAACCCCAACTAACCTGTCGTTTCACAAAGAACACAGGATTCTAGACAGCTTTTAGGTAATCACTCAGAGACCTTGAAATTCTTACAGCCAATCCTGTTCACCCAAGAGCATTCATTAACTAAAAGCAGTAGCCTACCACAAATTAATCACTTCAAGGAGACTGCTTAAACTTGTACCTTAAAAGAGAGCTAAAATATCAAAAGCCCTTTACTCCTCACGAACATTAGACACGAGCCAATTGTCCAACTTCAGACAGTCAGAGTGATTAGTTAAAACCACTGCTTAAGGACTGAAAGTGGGGCACCTACTGTACACGTACCTGGAAGCAGGGACAGGGTGAAATATATCCATTTTCTACTACATGTAAATACAACAGGACACGCTAGTCGGGCTGCTGCTGGGCATCCATTCGAAATGCATCGCTTGGTTCCACCGGCTAACGCACGCGAGCTGCACCAGCAGCTACAAGAAGACGTAGGCAGGAAAGGATTCCCATCGTGTAGCACTTCTACACCGCAGCCCGACCACACAGCCCCGGGTAACGTGAATTTTGGAGCTGTTACGCAAGGCAAAGAACATAAAACGAATCAAGGCAAACCCAAGGGAGTCACGCAAGGCCTGGGGCTACGCGAGCCGCCCGCGCGCGCGGCTGGGCGAGGGGATGTACCTGAGGATGCCTGGGAGAGGCACCTGAGGAGGTTTTGTTTTGCAGGAAGAACCGCTGTTTCCTCAGAGCAGCCGCCGAGTGACCTGTGACGACGAAGAACACCCATCACTGTTACTGCTAACAATGGGACATATTTATTGACCGTTCAAGAAGTGTATTTAACATCTCTGCTCTATGAACTGAGAGAAGGACTTTGAAGAGCTTGAGAGCGTTTCCTGACCAGGGCTGTGCCTCTGCAGCGCTCGCTTCAGGACGAAGCTCAATAAAAGGACTCTGCATCTTGTGTTTGCTTTGGGTTTGTGTGTTTTGTTTTTTTTTGTAATGGTAGCTTTTTGATTTTTAAAGGTGTGAATTAAAAATTTATATTCAGCAAACCACCTCGGTTCTCCTTGTACCCTGCGAGCAAAGTGTACGGCGAGCAGGCACCAAGCAGGAGGGCTTCACTCCAGCTGGACTTTAGACATTTATCCTTCCAGCAGGCGAGCGCGCGAAGCGGATCACGCTTCCGCCTCCTTTCGGTCTCAATGGCTGAACCCTTATCAGGGCCTCAGATAACAGCTTGTTAGAAAGAGGGGGCAAACAAGCTGATAATACCGATAACATTTTCAACATCCCAAACACACCCAGTGATAACTGGACGGAAAAGCGTCTCTTTTTAATTACTTCTAATAAAATTTACTTAAATAAATGCCCTAGGCTGACTTTTGCCACAGAAGTACCTCCTAGTTTAAAGTAAATTGGTCAAAATCCTTGCAGCTTGTTAACTGGGCTCAAAGAAACGAAGCCACTTCTGATTAGACAAGTAGCACCAAGTCTGGGACATGAATACACAGAGCACTGGGATCAGAACAGAAAAACCTGCTGAAAAACGCAGCACCGGGGAAGAGAACGCCCAGGAAACACATACAGTGGGTTTTGAAGTTTAATACAGAAAATCTATTTGATATTTATTAAACTTAGTTTCTCCAGTTACAGTTTTGCATTGTACAAAGCATTTTAATGACACAGTAGTTAAAAAGATCTTTACAAATTGAAATGTGATACCCTTTTCTCCAAATATTTTAATTGCCATAAATTTGTTTAAAAATACACATTAAACGCATGTTTCAGACACTAAACTTTCTATAATCTCAATACCACAAAATACATAGAATATACTATACAGATGTGGAAAAAATCTAGTTAGTATATAATACTTTGCTCACCATTAACAGCTTTATTACGTGAAATGCACATACTGACTTAGAAATCCTAATTTTGAGCCCCAAAGTACCCTTTGAAATTTCAAATGTATTGCAACAAATAAAATCACAGTTTGCTTTTTCTTTTTTTTTTTTCCCCCCAGGTTTTGGTTGAAGACAGATGCCTAAATATTTCCATAGAAACAAAACGTAACACATGGACTTGTCATGTACAAAGCATAAAACAGAGACATCCCGTTAGCCACGGACAGTACCTTTCTGCAGGATTAACAAGGGCTTCACTTATAAGTGACAGGTTCAAAGTTACCTCCCCCCCTCCCCGAGCCCCCCCCCAAAGAAAAACCCTTCTTCACCAAATAATAATTTCAAATAAGATAAAGGATTTTTAATAAATATATAAGCACTTTATCCTCCATATACAAAATTTCTTAAAAGAATTTAAAAGCGGGGAGGGGGGGAGGAACCAGACACAAATGTCAGGAACTGTGCTTGCCAAAGTCACGCCTGGTCCTAAAGAGTTGAGTTTGGGGATGCCCAGCGCCCGGGCAGCCAAGCCCAAAACGCCGCGGAAGGACCGTGTGTCCCTCCGCAACGACTCGGGCTGCGAATAAAAACTGAAGCCGGGGAACGCCGCGCTCCCGTCTGAGCGAATAAAAACCGAAGCCGGGGAACGCCGCGCTCCCGTCTGGGCTCCGGGAGTGAGCCCACGGATGGACACGTTTCCGCTGAGCGTCTACATGAAAGTAAAAGGCGTTTACGCCAAGGCTCTGCGCCGTGCCGCACCGCGCGGGCAGGCAGCCGGGAGCCAACAGGGAAGCCGACATCACGCCACCATCCCAGGGAGGAAGGAGAGGAGGAAGAAGAGGAAGAAGAGGAGCTGGGCCTCCCCTCCC